TGTTAACAAACAAGCCAGGTTTGAGGATTTTTCCCTCCTTAGTCCATCTAGTGGCACTGCATACATTCTCAGTAAGCCCAGAGCTTCTAATGGCTGCTCTAAGTCGTCTTTGGAACCAACCAGTGGGAGTTGAAATCTCCAGCTAAGAGTATTTGATCAAACCTAAGGAGTGGCAGTTGTAGTATTGCCCCAGTAAGTTTATCTTTCTGGGCCTTAGTACCTGAGGGAGGATGACAAATCCCTCCAATCAGGTATTTCGTGCCATTTGTGTGGAAACAACACCAACACGATTCTGTCACCTCAGTTAGTTGGGTGTCGTATAGCCGCCCGGCTTCTAAATGGCTGTTTATATATACAGCCACTCCGCCTCCTGTTTGGTGTACCGTATCGCTTCTGAAGAGTGTCATGCCTTTCAAGCTCACTTCATCGTCTGCAATGTCGGGGGATAGCTATGTTTCAGTTAGGATTATAATCTTCAGATCCATCGGAGAGCACATATTTCTAACTTCTAACAGCTAAACCCGTTAGTCCTCTTACGTCGCTATAGAGGCACTTGGTGGTTTGTCTCGTCAACTGGTGAACCTCTGCAGCAAGAGCCGTTGTCGGATTTTCAAACAAGTTGTTCAAATCGAGTTGGCCAGTTAGTTCTGTGGGAACTGGGTTCTGCAGAGCTTTGCCTGTGCAGTGCGTTCAATCGACGAGGCTATTATCTTCGTACCTTGTGCCGTGGGTTGTTGATCGAGGTCAACTGTCATTATTGTGCACTTACTTTTGCCTCTCTGTTGTTGTCCCACAGATCTAGATCGGCTCTCGCTACAACTCATGCGACTAGATACATCGTTCTTCATGCAGAACCAAACCTGAAGCGCCCTAGTTAGGTCCCGACCGAACCAGCTACCTTGACGTGGTGGCCGTGCTTGCCTATCGTGATGACGCAACCGAGCTATATTGGTTCTAACTTATGTTCCTGAAGGTTCCCCCATGCCAGGCAGGTCGATTGGAGAGCGATGAGACTAAAAGCAGTTACTCAAGGTCTGAGGGCGAAGTCGTACTGCTGACTGACTGTAGAGGGGTGTGACAGCAGTAAGGTGTTCCCCTCGGACAACCAGCATCTGCAGCGATGCTGCCTTCTCAAAAGGAAGGAAGGATTAATAAAAGGTCGGCCCTAAAATGTCACACCCCACCCTACCTCACGGATTTCCGTCTCCAGCAGTAAGGGTGCCCACTAAGGGCTTTCAAGAGCGGAGCTAACACCTAAAAAAACTTCTCATAAAAAGGCCGTGCGTGACCGGCCTCAAGCAGTTGACCCTTGCGCTCTGCGGTCACGCTCCCAGGTCTCCAAGACCAACACTAATCTATCTTCCTTTTCAGGTTCCTCAAGAAACAACCTTCCACGGTGTGGGCAGCCGGGAAGTGATAACCGCCCTCATACCGTAACAGCACACGAGACCAAATTAGTCAAAATCAAATCCTTCCTACACCCCCTAATACCTCTCTTATCTCTACGACTAACTCTTCTCACATTCATTTATTACAGTGCACAGCTAATGTAAACGATGCGAGTTCACGAAACGTCGTTCCTGGTCTCCTTAAACCCCGTTCTAAACTACATGTTGGAGCATTTAATGTACGGACATTAAGTCAAATAGGGCAACAGGCATCATTAACTAGGACTTTAGAATCTCGTCCCATCGATGTGTGCTGCGTCTCGGAAACGCGCATACAGGACCCGAGCAGCATCATTCACTTGACCTCACCATGTCAAGATAAAGAAGCAACTCGATTTACCTTTCAGGTATCCGGTAGCCCTGACGCTGCTTCCCGGCGTCTCGCTGGTGTAGGTATAGCATTGTGTCGTAGGGCAGAACAATCTCTCCTTGACTGGATCCCTGTAGAGAGTCGTTTGTGCGCTATCCGACTAAACGGGACAGTAAGGACTCGGAAAGATAGGGACACCCGTCGTTCCCTCTTCGTCGTATCTGCCTATGCCCCCACTGACTGCAGTTCAGACGATGTAAAAGATGACTTTTACAGAAAGCTTTCGGACCTCCTCCAAAAAGCTAGGCGCTCCGATGTAATAATAATGGCTGGTGACTTTAATGCTCAAGTAGGTAGACTAAGTGAAAATGAAGGACACTTAGGTGGATGTTATGGTCTCGCGGCTCAATGGCGACCGTCTGTTGCAACTGTGCTCAGATAACCGCCTATTTCGAGCAAACACTAATTTTAAACATAAGGAAAAACATCTTGTGACCTGGCGACCCCCGAAGTCGTCTCAACGTTGGAGCCAACTAGATCACATCACCATCAGCCACCGATAGAGAGGTCTAATAGAGGACTGCCGCTCGTTCTGGGGCACATGTCTAGATTCAGATCATGCCCTCGTGCGAGCTCGTATTTGTTTGAGGCTTACTGGACGTAGGAAAGACACCGTAAACAAGCCTCTGAGGGCTTTACTTGATGATAATCAAGCTAAGATAATATTTCAGGAGGAACTAGAAAAACAGTGACCATGCAAGTGATTCCTATCCGGAGTCAGGTTGGAATCATATCAAGAGGGCTGCGGAAACAGCAGCGATATCTGCTAGCAAGGTTAACCATACGGCTAGGACGAAGCCGTGGTTTCAGTCGCATCCACCGAACTGATGGATGCTCGAAAACGCATCCCACCTGACTCTGAATATGATGAGGAGCGTAGTCAGCTTAGGCGCAGACTTATAAAAAGCCTACGTAACGACCGTGAACAGTGGTGGGTGGCGAAAGCAAAAGCGATGGAAAAGGCAGTGGCGATAGGCAACACTAGACAACATTTCCGCCTTATTAAAGAAACCGGTATTAGGGACCCGAATGTGAGTGAGACCATCTCGGAAAAGGATGGTCTTATTATCCACTCTCAATCCAGGAGATTGGACCGATGGGCAGAACACTTTAGGGATCAGTTAAACTGGTCTTCAGCCACACTTCGGTTGCCCACGATCCCCAGTTATTCTGAATGGCAAATCGATTTAAGTCCTCTCAGTCTACATGAAGTTGAGAAAGCTATAGGAAATCTAAAGGGATGTAGAGCAGCAGGTCCTGATAGGCTTACCTCTGAGATGTTTTAACAGTTTTAACAGTTAGACTGATCGACATCCTAGGAAGAATCTGGGAACTGGACGCAATCCCATCTGATTGGTCTCAGTCGCTAATTGTCTCAATCTACAAGAAAGGACAAAAGTCCTCTTGTGACAATCACAGGAAAATAGGTCTCACCAATATAGTTTCTAAATTGTTAGCCTCGATTATACTTAGACGTCTAACTAGAGCACGTGAAGAGCAGACTCTAGAAAACCAGTCTGGTTTTCGACCTGGATGTGGTTGTATAAACCACATCTTCACACTACGACAGGGCCTGGAACACAGACACATTTAGACGTCTTCAATAGTTGTCTTCCTGGACCTCAAGGCGGCATTCGACTCACTGGATCGTGAGGTTCTGTGTCAGTGTCTGTCAGTGAAAGGTGTACCAAAGAAGTACATTAACCTTATACAAGCTCTCTACTAGAACACTACAGGTCGAGTGAGAGGATATGGCGAACTGTCATCTGAATTTTCTACTTCAAGTGGTGTCCGTCAGGGATTTCCACTCTCCCCATTTTTGTTTAACTTTGTCGTAGGCATCCTCTTAGAGTTAACATCAAGCTCGTCAGATTTTTCAGAGGTTGACCTTGTACCAGAAAAGTCGCTTACTGACCTGGAATATGCCGATGACATAGTTCTATTCGGTGAAGACGCTGACAAAATGCAGTCTTCTGACTACCATAAGCAACAATGCACGCATGTTCGGGATGCGATTCTCACCCTCGAAATGCAAAATTTTGCTTCAGGATTGACTTGCATCAGCACCTGAACTAGTGATAGGAAGTGAACTAGTCGAGCGTGTTGATAACTCCACTTATCTAGGGAGACTCATCAGCGCGATAGCCTGGTGACTGACGAAATCTCAGCGCGGATACAGAAGGCTCGATTGGCTTTTGCCAACCTGCATCATTTATAGAGTAGGCGTGATATCCGTTCGCTAACAAAAGGACGAGTGTACTGCGCAGCAGTTCGCTACGTTCTTCTATATGGCTGTGAAACATGGCCGTTAAGAGTAGATGTTCGTAGGTCACTAGTATTCAATCATAGATGTTTAAGAAGCATTGCTCGTATACCGTGGGATAACCGAGTAAGCAATGCTGTCGTTAGGAAACGAGTACTAGGTAAGGATGGCAAATCAATTGATTAAGTGGTGAAACTTTATCATTTGACGTGGTTGGGACATGTATTACGTATGACTAACCACCGACTGCCTCGACGAGCTATGTTTTGTGGTGTAGGTGTAGATTGGAAGAAAGCTAGGGGCGGCCAGACCAAAACATGGCAGAAATCCATGAAGTCACTGACAAGTGGACTGAGTCATGTTAGTAGATGTAGACTACCTGGTTGGGGTCCGCGAGACGAAAGTCACCAATGGTTAGAGACCTCAAAATCGTTTGCAATGGCGCAAGTGCATCCATTCTTTGAGCTCTCTCAAATCCTAATCTTCTGGATTCGTCAACACCTCTACTTTTGTCTTTCTAACCTTATCTCACTAAATTATACTTCTTAAATAATATATTCGAACCCTAGTCTTCTTCATTACCACTAATACCTCTACTATCTTTATCACTATGGGATTCGATTTGACATTTGCGTCTCTGTGCTAAAGTGGTATGGCAACCTGAACTTATGTACATACTTACGCAGTTCAACGTTGCAACTGACTGACTGACTGACTATTTAGCCTACTGGTATTTTAAGGTGTCTTGGTTCCTCTGTTTGAGACCTAGTGGAGGTATTTGAGTTGAATGATCCGAACTATGAACGCTACTCTGAGGAGTGCTTCTGAATGACGACATCAGTTTTTTATCAACTCTGTCGTTCGAGAGTGAGATTTTCGACACACTATTGACCCTGAGTTTCATACCTCTGCAGGTTTCCCTGGTTTTCCCGAGACTACTACCAAGCGCGCGCTTCGAAATTGAGTTGTCCTCGTTGATATACCTCCATTTACAGGAAACAATCCGCTTTTGGACTACAAATTGGAATATTTAATCACTCAGGAAGATATAAAAGTTGTTTTCATTCACTGGTTGACAATCTGAGTAGCGATTCCGACAAAAACGGAATCAATCCACGTTAGGACCGCTGTGCGGTAAGTCTAGCTGTCTCGATCAACTGCTCTCTTAGTTGCTTAGGCAGCAAACACACATTCATTCATTCGTCAACATAGGACCTGTGGAAAAGTTACTGGATCCATGCGAAGTTGTTTACTCTAACGGTTAGAAGTAAAGTTGCAATTTCGGAGTAATTTCAGGTTCTATTCCTTCGTAGTTATGTTTATGTAGTACTAAATTCATCTTTCCTGAACTCCTACTTCGTGTATTTTTCTCTGTTGATTATCTTGTTTTTCGTTTCTAAATCTCTCTGATGTCATGTTAAGTTATAAGGTTGCCATCATATCTTACACTAAAACAACCAGGGAAACCTGCAGAGGTATGAAACTCAGGGTCAATAGTGTGTCGAAAATCTCACTCTCGAACGACAGAGTTGATAAAAAACTGATGTCGTCATTCAGAAGCACTCCTCAGAGTAGCGTTCATATTTCGGATCATTCAACTCAAATACCTCCACTAGGTCTCAAACAGAGGAACCAAGACACCTTAAAATACCAGTAGGCTAAATAGGAATAGGAGTGAAAGGCGTCCTAAGGCTGAGTCCATACAGTCTGTCGTACAGAAACACCACAAGGATGATTGTATCGCCTGTTCTATCCCAGGCAAAATCAGTGACTCAGCTTTTGAATGCAATTTTTCTAGCAAATGGGTCATTGTCACTGGGACACTACAGTACTTAGAGGGTACCATGGGTTCATATTGAGTCACCTCTGCCCGTGGTTCTGGTATATCTGTCCACGGTGCAGAGTACCTGAAGCCACATGCCCCACCCAAATCAGCTCGAAAGTCCCAGCGGACATACCTAAATCGCCTGACACTAAACCAGTGAAACAGGTGACGAAGGCAGCCAAAACCCTAACCAACACTGGCAAAACTGCCGGTTGTAGTTAATTCCCCAGCATCTGTTAACAATACGGAACAGTGTGTGAATGTAAAAAAAGGGGAACGGCAAAACCTCAACTCACGAACGGTTACCACTAAGGGACAGGGACAATAGACGAAATTCACTCATCTTATTTATTATTCTAGTGTCAGAAGGTAGCTTACTAGAGGGTAGAGGTGCCTTTGATTAAGAGCAATGGGATAAATACTGCGCAATCCTCGGAATGTACAATATTCCGGCAAAAATATGCCGCCTTTTTAAAGGCCAGAACATCTCTAAAGGGAGACCCCTTCCAATGAGGGTGACACTAGACTCGGCACAACTTGCCGAAGATATCCTCCTCTCATGTCAGGGACCATCGGTAAAATTGCCCTCTTCAATCCGCATCAGGCACGATAAACTGTGGTCAGCATGAGCCGCATCGAGGACAACACCAGGCACCCAAGAACAGACCAGCATGGTAGTTCACGGCGTGCCTGAACTGGCTAGTCATAGTTTGGATGAAGTTCACGTGCATAACGTGCAACAGTGTTGGTGGCTCTCACGTAGCTTGAGCTTTAACACCGTCATTGCAATTAGCACTTTTAGGCTGCCTCACCCGTCACCACTCACGTCCAATAAGTCACCACGTCTAATGGCTATGACTTCAGAAATCGGGAAGACCTAACTGGGGTCAGTCAGTCAGTTGCAACGTTGAACTGCGTAAGTATGTACATAAGTTCAGGTTGCCATACCACTTTAGCACAGAGACGCAAATGTCAAATCGAATCCCATAGTGATAAAGATAGTAGAGGTATTAGTGGTAATGAAGAAGACTAGGGTTCGAATATATTATTTAAGAAGTATAATTTAGTGAGATAAGGTTAGAAAGACAAAAGTAGAGGTGTTGACGAATCCAGAAGATTAGGATTTGAGAGAGCTCAAAGAATGGATGCACTTGCGCCATTGCAAACGATTTTGAGGTCTCTAACCATTGGTGACTTTCGTCTCGCGGACCCCAACCAGGTAGTCTACATCTACTAACATGACTCAGTCCACTTGTCAGTGACTTCATGGATTTCTGCCATGTTTTGGTCTGGCCGCCCCTAGCTTTCTTCCAATCTACACCTACACCACAAAACATAGCTCGTCGAGGCAGTCAGTGGTTAGTCATACGTAATACATGTCCCAACCACGTCAAATGATAAAGTTTCACCACTTAATCAATTGATTTGCCATCCTTACCTAGCACCCGTTTCCTAACGACAGCATTGCTTACTCGGTTATCCCACGGTATACGAGCAATGCTTCTTAAACATCTATGATTGAATACTAGTGACCTACGAACATCTACTCTTAACGGCCATGTTTCACAGCCATATAGAAGAACGTAGCGAACTGCTGCGCAGTACACTCGTCCTTTTGTTAGCGAACGGATATCACGCCTACTCTATAAATGATGCAGGTTGGCAAAAGCCAATCGAGCCTTCTGTATCCGCGCTGAGATTTCGTCAGTCACCAGGCTATCGCGCTGATGAGTCTCCCTAGATAAGTGGAGTTATCAACACGCTCGACTAGTTCACTTCCTATCACTAGTTCAGGTGCTGATGCAAGTCAATCCTGAAGCAAAATTTTGCATTTCGAGGGTGAGAATCGCATCCCGAACATGCATGCATTGTTGCTTATGGTAGTCAGAAGACTGCATTTTGTCAGCGTCTTCACCGAATAGAACTATGTCATCGGCATATTCCAGGTCAGTAAGCGACTTTTCTGGTACAAGGTCAACCTCTGAAAAATCTGACGAGCTTGATGTTAACTCTAAGAGGATGCCTACGACAAAGTTAAACAAAAATGGGGAGAGTGGAAATCCCTGACGGACACCACTTGAAGTAGAAAATTCAGATGACAGTTCGCCATATCCTCTCACTCGACCTGTAGTGTTCTAGTAGAGAGCTTGTATAAGGTTAATGTACTTCTTTGGTACACCTTTCACTGACAGACACTGACACAGAACCTCACGATCCAGTGAGTCGAATGCCGCCTTGAGGTCCAGGAAGACAACTATTGTCGGACGACTAAATGTGTCTGTGTTCCACGACCTGTCGTATTGTGAAGATGTAGTCTATACAACCACGTCCTGGTCGAAAACCAGACTGGTTTTCTAGAGTCTGCTCTTCACGTGCTCTAGTTGGACGTCTAAGTATAATCGAGGCTAACAATTTAGAAACTATATTGGTGAGACCTATTTTCCTGTGATTGTCACAAGAGGACTTTTGTCCTTTCTTGTAGATTGAGACAATTAGCGACTGAGACCAATCAGATGGGATTGCGTCCAGTTCCCAGATTCTTCCTAGGATGTCGATCAGTCTAACTGTTAAAACTGTTAAAACATCTCAGGGGTAAGCCAATCAGGACCTGCTGCTCTACATCCCTTTAGATTTCCTATAGCTTTCTCAACTTCGTGTAGACTGAGAGGACTTCCGTCGATTTGCCATTCAGAATAACTGGGGATCGTGGGCAACCGAAGTGTGGCTGAAGACCAGTTTAACTGATCCCTAAAGTGTTCTGCCCATCGGTCCAATCTCCTGGATTGAGAGTGGATAATAAGACCATCCTTTTCCGAGATGGTCTCACTCACATTCGGGTCCCTAATACCGGTTTCTTTAATAAGGCGGAAATGTTGTCTAGTGTTGCCTATCGCCACTGCCTTTTCCATCGCTTTTGCTTTCGCCATCCACCACTGTTCACGGTCGTTACGTAGGCTTTTTATAAGTCTGCGCCTAAGCTGACTACGCTCCTCATCATATTCAGAGTCAGGTGGGATGCGTTTTCGAGCATCCATCAGTTCGGTGGATGCGACTGAAACCACGGCTTCGTCCTAGCCGTATGGTTAACCTTGCTAGCAGATATCGCTGCTGTTTCCGCAGCCTTCTTGATATGATTCCAACCTGACTCCGGATAGGAATCACTTGCATGGTCACTGTTTTTCTAGTTCCTCCTGAAATATTATCTTAGCTTGATTATCATCAAGTAAAGCCCTCAGAGGCTTGTTTACGGTGTCTTTCCTACGTCCAGTAAGCCTCAAACAAATACGAGCTCGCACGAGGGCATGATCTGAATCTAGACATGTGCCCCAGAACGAGCGGCAGTCCTCTATTGAACCCCTCCATCGGTGGCTGATGGTGATGTGATCTAGTTGGCTCCAACGTTGAGACGACTTCGGGGGTCGCCAGGTCAAAAGATGTTTTTCCTTATGTTTAAAATTAGTGTTTGCTCGAAATAGGCGGTTATCTGAGCACAGTTGCAACAGACGGTCGCCATTGAGCCGCGAGACCATAACATCCACCTAAGTGTCCTTCATTTTCACTTAGTCTACCTACTTGAGCATTAAAGTCACCAGCCATTATTATTACATCGGAGCGCCTAGCTTTTTGGAGGAGGTCCGAAAGCTTTCTGTAAAACTCATGTTTCACATCGTCTGAACTGCAGTCAGTGGGGGCATAGGCAGATACGACGAAGAGGCAACGACGGGTGTCCCTATCTTTCCGAGTCCTTACTGTCCCGTTTAGTCGGATAGCGCACAACCGACTCTCTACAGGGATCCAGTCAAGGAGAGATTGTTCTGCCCTACGACACAATGCTATACCTACACCAGCGAGACGCCGGGAAGCAGCGTCAGGGCTACCGGATACCTGAAGGGTAAATCGAGTTGCTTCTTTATCTTGACATGGTGAGGTCAAGTGAATGATGCTGCTCGGGTCCTGTATGCGCGTTTCCGAGACGCAGCACACATCGATGGGACGAGATTCTAAAGTCCTAGTTAATGATGCCTGTTGCCCTATTTGACTTAATGTCCGTACATTAAATGCTCCAACATGTAGTTTAGAACGGGGTTTAAGGAGACCAGGAACGACGTTTCGTGAACTCGCATCGTTTACATTAGCTGTGCACTGTGATAAATGAATGTGAGAAGAGTTAGTCGTAGAGATAAGAGAGGTATTAGGGGGTGTAGGAAGGATTTGATTTTGACTAATTTGGTCTCGTGTGCTGTTACGGTATGAGGGCGGTTATCACTTCCCGGCTGCCCACACCGTGGAAGGTTGTTTCTTGAGGAACCTGAAAAGGAAGATAGATTAGTGTTGGTCTTGGAGACCTGGGAGCGTGACCGCAGAGCGCAAGGGTCAACTGCTTGAGGCCGGTCACGCACGGCCTTTTTATGAGAAGTTTTTTTAGGTGTTAGCTCCGCTCTTGAAAGCCCTTAGTGGTCACTCTTACTGC